TTCAAATTAAGTTTTGACCTGTCGACCACAAGGTTATGCCCTAAAAAAATTCCACAGAAAACAAGAAAATGACCGGTCATCTTCTGGGGATTGTCATATGAATCCCGACAAATGTTACCCCTGGCTGTTAGGGAGTGAATGCTCCCCCTGTTCAGTAGTGCATGCCTTCCATACGCTGTTCTCCTAACTGTTCAGGAAGTTGGATGGGCAGCAGTGCAATTTTCCCAGATGTTCGCGGAGTCGTGTAGACGACAAACAGTTCCACACACGACCAAGTACTACCTGTGTTCGGGAGACAAAATGGTTATATAAATGTATTTGGTTATACGAATGGCGGCTACACAGGTAAAGCTCTTGAGTTAATTGCTCATTTGTGGGTAACAGCCAGGATTGGTCAGTGATTAAGAAGTGTGAAAAAGTGGTGATTAAGTAGTGTGAAATAAAACTCTGTATCACGGTGTTGGTCCGGTAACAACAGTAATAAAAGTTTATACCACAAATCCATTTCGCTACACTTTTTAAAATTAGTTTTTCTTTTTCGTGCTAATCTAAAGATCTGTCAGTTTGGTATTCCGTCATCAGTTCAGCAATGAGGGTGGCCTTTTTCTTATTACTTGCCACTATCCCTCTAACCTCTAGGACAGGGGTAGGCAACCTTTTAGAAGCACTGTGCCGAAATAGGATTGTTATGTCCCGTAGCGTGCCGGTCCTATTTTTTAAATTGAGGGGTGTATGTTGTTGTGTTCTGCTTGTGTTATTTATACTGCAGTTGCTTTGTATCGTTGTATTTGTGCGTATGTGAGCTATTCTATTGTATGTTCATGAGTAGATTGTGGTATCGTGTATGATACCTATGAATGTGGTATGTGTATGGGAGCTGCTTGTGTAATTGTGTGTGTGTGGATGGATTTGTCACATTTTGTGTTTGGTAGTGTGTGTGTGTGGGGGGGAGGGGACTGTTCGGGGCATTGTATGTAAGAGACTGCATGTGGGGTTGTGTGCATGCATGTGGATTGCTACCGGTAAGTTTTTGCGGATTGTGTGTATGTTTGTGTGCGGTCTGTTTGTATTAATGTATGAGGGAAAGGTTTTTCTGCATTTCTGTGTATATCTAGCAGTGTGGGCAGTGGCGTACACACAACCCATGGGGCCCCAGTGCGAAACTGATCCATGGGGCCTCCACACTCTATCCCCCCGCCCCCTTCGACAGACACACACATGCATGCATACAGAGACAGACAGATAGACACATACGTACACACACACACACACACACATACAGACAGACATATACAGACACACACATACACACACACACACACACAACACATACATACAAACAGACAAGCACACATACATACAAAGACACACATACAGACAGGCACACATACATACAGACAGGCACACATACAGACACAAACAGACACACATACAGACAGACCGACACATACATACATACATAAGACAGATCAACAGACACATACAGATAGACACACACAAGACATATATACATACAAACACACACATAATATTTGTCACACTCCTGTTTCCTACCTTTTAAGTGCAGGAGGGTGACTTTCCCTGGGGTCCAGTGGTGGCTCAGGTTGATGGGAGTCAGAGTTCCCTCCCTGACTCCCTCTACTTCCTCCCGCAAGGGCTCTCAGTGATAGCTGGGAGGAATGATGGGGAGTCACTTCCTCCCAGCATGTGATGATCTCATCATAGGGGGCCCGGTCGAGCTGTTAAAGTGCCCAGCGCTGACCGAGCCCCTTGAAAATCCATACCCGCATGAGCACCTTAACAGGCCGCAAATGATGATGGCGGGCACCCGGGTGCAGGGGTCTGCAGGGTGGCTGGGCCCTCTGAAGTGACGGGCCCTGTCGCAGCTGCGACCCCTGTGACCGTTTTATGTATGCCAGTGAGTGTGGGTGATTTCCCTGGTTTCCAGTGGGGACCATGTTGACCAGGTACAGGTCAAGGACAGGAGATGCAACAGCAGCTGTGGGCTGCTTTACTACAGTGTGGATTCCCATGCACAAGTACTGGGAGGAATACAGTGATCTGAGATTACTTCCTCTCTGTGTGTGGCCATGCATAAATTGAGGATTGTCCTTCACTACCTTTTCGTATAAGCAAATATCTGAATTTTCAATGGGACTCCTGATAGGACAGAGCCTTTTTTGGCTCTAGCAGCCTTGAGTGCCGTACAAATACACCTCGAGTGCTGTGCATGGCACTCGCGCCATAGGTTGCCTACCCCTGCTCTAGGAGATCATTCATTGTGGAACTTTTCAGAACAATGTAATCAATCTCCATCCACGGTCCATTCGGTACTGCTGTCAGCTTTGGCTCTTGTTCCGTCGTGAGATCCGGATCCAACCAATGTAGCGGCGCTCTAGTCCTGACTGGAACTTGCCTCCGCTGGATTACCAATAGTAGAACTCAGGAAAAAGATACTGCCAAGTCAATATCCTACGTCCTCCCCAGTAAATGGACGACTCACAGTTCTTGGAGTACAACTGAACTTTTATTCTACCACACAAAGCTGTTATGTACTGGCCCCTAGCATGTGGTTTACACATCAAGAATACAGGGGTTTCTTCCCAGGAGCCTTTGTATTTGAGAGATAATTGAACAACACAAGAAGCACTCAAGGTGTTAAAGCCGCTGGCAGTTTTAATGGAACAAAAGTAGCAACAACGTATCTACCTGCTAAGAGGTCTTTGTCCGGATAATTGAACTCAAATTAGGATAACTCAATCTCTAAAATACAGAAACTTATACAATATTTCTACAATACCCCAAAAATACATGAACAGTACAGGAACCCCACCAAAATCATATCCCCAAATAGCTCTGATCTGAGCGCCCAACATATCCAAAAAGCACTCAGGTCGGTTCAGTATTATGGAATTGATTTTCGAGTAAAGGTCTGACTGAACGGCCACGGCTTTCAGGGGTTCCTGTGCGACCACAGATGAACGCTCCCCCTGGCTTTAAGGGAGCGATTGCTATCCCCAGTTGGTAGATCATATCTCCCAAATGTTGTTCGTCTAGGTGGTCGGGAAGTTGAACAGGCAGCAGTACGAACTCCGCCCAGGTTTACGGACTCGCCGAAAATAGTTCCAGGCGTTCGACCATGTACCGCTGCCTGTGTTTGGAAGACAAAATGGCCGCCATGCACTGGACCATGTGTGTTATTTTAATGGCAGCCACCCAGGGAGAGCCTTTGAGCTACTGTGTCAAGTTGTACACAACTGAACACAAGGTAATGAAGTCCGCTACACTATTGGCCTAGAGGAGGCCAAGTATTTAGGTCAATTGATTGGGAGAGGGTTAGTAAAGCCACAGCTTGCAAAAGTTGAAGCCATACGAAATTGGCCTTGATCCTTGACTAAGAAACAAGTTAGGATATTCCTTAGTCTTATTGGCTATTGCAGGAGATTTATCTTCATAGTGGGTCCCTTAACTGACCTCACAAATGCAAAAGCCCCTGTCATGGTGAAATGGTCTCCAGAAGCTGAGCAGGCATTTTAATGTCTCAAAGAAGCCATATGCATTCAACCTATGTTGGTTAATCCTAAAAACAGATGCATCTGATGTAGGATTTGGAACAGTGCTCTCACAAGAAAGACATGATGAATAGCATCCACTACTGTACCTGAGCAGGAAACTTCAACCCAGAGAAAAGAATAATTCAACAGTCGAGAAGGAATGTGTAGCTATTAAGTGGGCTGTGTGAATCTCTCAAGTACTACTTGTTGGGCAGGCAATTTAAGATAGTGACAGATCACGCACTGCTCACTTGGATGAGTCAAAATAAAGAAAACAATAGCATGGTTCAGGCATAGGCAACCTTCAGCAGTTTTGGACTACACTGTCACGTATTCATCCGCTTAAAATTTACTGTCCACACAGGAAAAATTGTGCTGAGCAGCAACCAAATCCTCAGAAGGGTTAATGCTGAGCAGCAATTATGCAGATGGGAACCTGGTAACTGCCTTTGGGGTCAAAGGCCGGTTACAGCCTATCAGATCTAGAGGAGGGGTATTTAGGCCCAGTTTTCATCCTGCTCAGTGCCCTGTCGTGGTTTCCCTTGTGGTTGTCCGAGAGCTCGTTATTGATTCTGGTAATTCTGGTTATTTGACTTTGGTATTGTTTTTGACTTCCCTGTTTTCTGGCATTCCTGACTCCTGGCTTTTCCTTACCGTTGTGTCTCTTTCTGTGTCCCTTGACCTCGGCTATTCCTGACTATTCTTTGGTACGTTAGTCCAGCCATTCTAAGGTCTGGAATACGTTACCTATCAGTCATCTGTGTTACACAATTCTACATGCTGGATCATTCTGTAATCCTGACATTACGACAGGGCCTCAAAATGATACTCTATTTAGTTAAGGATTCCCCGGCATTCTTGTAAATTACCATCAAAATGCAGAGAAGGAGATAGAGAGATAGTTGGTGCCTTGTATACTATAGGCGGAGGTGAGACAGGAGGAGCAGCCGCAGGTTGCAGATGCACTGTATGGGTAAGAAGCGTACTGAAGGCCTGGGCAAATTGATCCAGCCGATTGTTCTTGGGTTCCAGCATCTGATATACATGCTGGCCGCAAGATTCGCTATTTTCACGCCAAATTTTCTTTCAAACCTGGTCCTGCCCGCCCGGTGGGCATTCTTCAGGTGGGGGGTAATATCACGTATTCATCCGCTTATAAAAATGTGGTTAATGGCATTTTCCGTCCACACAGGAAAAGTTGGTCCGAGCAGCAACCAAATCCACAGAAGGGTTAATGCTGAGCAGCAATTATGCAAATGGGAACCTGGTAACTGCCTTTGGGGTCAAAGGCCAGTTACAGCCTATCACATCTAGAGGAGGGCTATTTAGGCCCAGTTCTCATCCTGCTCAGTGCCCTGTTGTGGTTTCCCTTGTGGTTGTCCGAGAGCTCATTATTGATTCTGGTAATTCTGGTTATTTGACTTTGGTATTGTTTTTGACTTCCCTGTTTTCTGGCATCCCTGACCCCATGCTGTTCCTTATTGTTGTGTCTGTTTCTGTGTCCCTTGACCTCGGCTATTCCTGACTATTCTTTGGTACGTTAGTCCGGCCATTCTAAGGTCCGGTATACGTTACCTATCAGTCCTCTGTGTTACACAATTCTACGTGCTGGATCATTCTGTAATCCTGACGTACACCCCCCATCCGTGGGGGAGTTGGCTCCTGCTGTTCTCAAACTAATTTCATTAAAAATAAAATTCCGAATAACGGAGTTGAATTAAATTGACTGAATTAGTGGCCCTCTAAGGTTTTTTTTTTTTTTTTTTTATGTCACCTATATCTTAATGTTTAAAAGGGTTTAATCCCTGCTCACACTGAAAGACCTGGTGCTTTCCTCTGTCTCGTGGGGGCTATCATAGTGAGCATTACTTACAGCCATTCAAATCGCTTTAAATGATCATGCTCAACTGCAGTGATTATAAGCTTTCCTTCAGACAGAGGAAACCCAAATCTAGTTGCCAAATCTAGTTGGCAACAAGCATTAGCAGGACAGGGGCGCACACAAAACAATTAACAATATACAAACACATTATAAACACCCTGCACCTATAATGGGTACAGGGTGACTTAGACATAGGAACAATTTAGGGACCTTTGTAAAGTGTATTTCTGCTCCCAGTGATGGTGACTACCGTCACAGACCCTAACGGGATCTTCCTACATGCCTCCCTGCCAACAGTGATCCTGGTGATGGTGGCTGAGGCTGTTAGGAGTAAGCATGCAGCAGCAGCTCACTCCAGCCTCTCCTTGCCTCAATGCTTCCTGTGGAGGTGACTCTAGCCTTCTCTCTCCATTCGTCCAGGGCTTCTCTCTGTGAAGAAGGTAGGAAGTGACAGGCTGTTACTTTCTCCCTTGGACAAATGGATAACGGTTCAGCGCTAAATAATCTAAAAGAAACTAAAATAAGTATAAAAGCAGCAACCTATAAAAATGAGGTCCCTCAGCAAGCCCCACAAGAAATAAAATAGACAGAAATTGGTATATAGGTCGCGCTGAAGGGACAAAGAGGTAATGTAAAATGAATAAATAAATGTAATAAAAAGTCCCAAGTAGTAAATAAACCTGTATTTTTCTTGAGTGGATATAAAGTCCAAATGGGTGTCTGAAGCTCCTTATGTTGAAAATATCTTGATTCGCTTGTAGATATGTGGGTACATAGAAGAGATAAGAGAAACTCCAATAGTGTAGAATGTCGACAGGTAGTCAGATATAAATCTGTGAGTAGGTAAAAAACTCACCTTTGAATGAGCAAAAAAACTTGCTCAAGTGTTCTTAGCGTTCAGTGGCGTCAATCCCCCACTGGTCGGATATGGATGATGGGATCCTTAACAATTCCTCGATATGTGGAGAGATGAGAGACGTATATAGTGCTCACTGTATGGTTAAAAAACAAATAAAATAGTAGAATGCTCACATGTGTATGAGCAGGAACTACTGCTCAATATAGTGGCGCAGGTGGTACAATCCCCACCTAGGATTCTTGGATAGTAGCGTACTTCAATCCAAATCTGTGACCAGGTAATTCAAATTCAAATAAAAATAAATAACATATTTTTAACATATTGTTGCACATGTAAGTATGATATGCTTTGAAGAACACGTGATCGCGACCTCCTGCGACCACGTGATCACATAGCCGAGCATTATGGGGAATGTATGCTGGGGCCGAGAGACCGGCGCGATCATTCATATATATATAAACGCCAACTGCGTAATGTATGAATAGCAAAATATCAGTATCATAAGTAACTAAATGAGATACCAATACAATCCAACCGCACAAAAACAAATACATATAGAAAAAATACAAAAAGCATACCAGACCTAGTGAGAAGCAGGGACAGAGTCAATCAAAAAGCCCCCAACGTTTCGGCAAAATGCCTTTATCAAGGGAGCCTGTTGAGAGAACCAAATCCTATCCTTATATACCCAAAAGAACACACATTGAAAACACCTGAAGTAAATGGGCGGCCACCTATAATAATTGAGATCCTCCCAACCATGAACCCCTGTTTATGGTTACCAAGGAAGCCAAAAGCAATAACATATACACAGCTACCCTACATATAACGTTCAAGATCGGAGTGGAACATACAGGCATATATTATTAATATAACATTCAGGATCAAGATTGGAACATACAGGCATATAGTATTAAATATTAATATGATGTAGAAAATAAATAACAAAAGCATAATATAATAATACAGGCAAATATCAGAATCAATGCTAGCATGTATATACCCACATCCAGTGTCCCAAAACTGTGTGTCATATTGTAAAGAGAGATGAAGTACATCATTGGTGCAATCAAATATAAATACCACAACCAGGAAATGAGACAGCCTGATCAAGACACTTGGACTAGTTAACCTCAATCAATTAAGCATGGAACGGAGGCGCAAGCCACATTGTGTGCCTCAAATCGCTGAACCCAGAAGCAGGCTGGGCAAGGTTGAACGCATATGCGTTCCAACGTTGTAATGGTATTTATTAATTAATGACTTTACATCATAAAGAAAGCATATTTAGTGTAATGCTTTGGGGGCACCACTAGGGGGAGTGTGTAGGAAGACATGTGCTTCTGGCAGTGACATCACAGGCCAGCCTACTTACACTGAATAAAACCAGATGGAGGAGAAAACTCTGTCCTTTTGCCTGTACCTGACTGAACCTAAGATGTAGTACCAGCTCTGACTTAACCCCAGCCAAAGGGCTGGGGCCTTGTAAGTAAAATGAATCCATTGTAACATCTAGCAATTGTAATAGACTTTTGTGTAACATTTAGCAACCTTTTGTAAGTAAAATGTTGTAGTTTTGTATTGTATAATTATTGTAGTAAATTGACATTCTGCTAGCATCTGTTTATTTATTATAGTTATATTAAATATACATTTAATATTACAACGTTTTGTGTATTTTCTATCCACATATTCGACCATAATACCATGAATTATAAAAATATTAATGTTGTTCCGTATTGCTTAATTATTATGTATTAAGAGATTAATATTCATATTTAGGTCACGACCACAACATTTGGCGTAGTCGGCAGGATTATGCTTGAATATTGGGGAAAATATAAATGTTATGCATTTTGCTTAAATCATACTGTAAATTGTCTGTCTGTATACAAATGAATAAATGAATGATGATTTGGTTTTAATGGAATGAATGCAGATAGCAGATAGGGATTAGATATTTGTTTTTTAAGGTATCTCTTGTTGTAAGAACATAGTGATGAATTATTGTGTTGCTTGTTACGTTTTACCAACCTTTGGTCATTTTTATATATAAAACAAAAAACAATTTTACTTTTTGTCTGACCATGTGGATTTTAATCCACCATTGACCACATGGTGTGAATGAGTTGAGGCCTAGTTTCATTGTTTGCTACCATTTGCATAGGAAAAGACTTTTCACTAAACTAGTTCACCAGGTTTTATTGCTAAATTTGACCCTGTTTGTGTACTAATTTACATTTGTTTGGCATTCATGGATTTGTCTAGATGAAAAGAGATTTGGACAAAATGTATTAAATTAGTAGTTAAGAAAAAGATACGTTTAGTAAAGCAGATTCAGTGAATAATAGATTTATGTGTGTGTATACACAGAATATTAGTATAAATATATATATGATTTTGACTAATGAAGGAGAGACCACCTTTTTAACAGCTGTGTGACCATGCTTTTCAGCTACAGCTGGGGGAGAATTTGTCCTTGTTGGGGGTGGGTAGTCTTGCCTGTATGAGAAAAAATAAACTGCATTGTTTTGTAAATGTAATTGCCTAAGCTAATCAATTTGTGGAGTGTTTTTCAGCTTTATTATCCAGGACTAAGGAATTACTGGACATATGCAGGAACTGGTAACAAATGAACTGAAAAAATGGTAAAATAATTCCTTTGTCCTATTTAGTCTGAATATTTTAACAAGTTAGCATTTTTAACAAAGTAAGTGTAGGGGCTCAGATTAAGATTTATATTATTTTAGAAGCCATCTATAACTGATTTTAATATTTCCATGCTTTGAATTAGGGTGTATCTGCCTAGCGGGTGAACCTCCATAACGTGGGCTGTGATTTTAGTTACAGTAGCGGGTGGGGAACCTGAGCTAGGGGGTATTTAAACGTGTCCGGATAAGGGGGAGCATACCCAATAGTTGTTGTGCAGTTCTATCCTGTATTATTATTTGAAACCCTGTATTACTTATAAGTAGCGTTTTGTAACTTATTTGTAATTGTTTATATATATTGCTCTGGGAAAGGGATAGGCAAAATCTCTGAGAGACCAGGAAATATATTTTAAAAAAGGGCGTATTACACTAGTGGTAGGGTGGCCTATCATGACCATAGAGACCCTTGGTGACTAGTTTTTGTTGTGTATTGCCCTTGGAAGGGGATACGCTATCTAATAGAAATTCCTGAGAGACCAGGAAATATACAATAAGTGATACATGAGTGTACTGGTTAAATTGCAGACATATTGGCCCAGAACCTTTAATCGAGCCGGAAAAGAGGCTGCTGTATGTTTGCTCCTCTATAATTTTGCGGGGGCGGTCACCCCCATGCGGAAAGCCACTGCCATCACAGGGTGGTTAGTTGTGCAGGCCCTTAGCCGCGAGGTGCATGCATGTCCGTGGAAAGGCTAGAAATTAATAGGGAGTCACTCATAGCTGTCAGAAGTGTTGAACTTTGAGACATATTGACCTATATCCTTTCAGAGGCGGAAGAGGTGTTGTGGTTCACTCCTCTATAATTTAACCAAAGGGTGGAAAGTTATTAAACATGTTTAAGTTGGCTAGAAATTTGTTACTCATAAGTCCATTTGAAATCCTGTATTGCTTAAAAGTTTGTGTCAGTTTTATATTGCCCTGGGAAGGGGATTAGCTATTATATATCCCTGAGAGACCAGGAAATATAAAATAAGTAATACGTGGGTGTATTGTGTATCTGCCTAGCGGGTGAACTGCCATAACGTGGGCTGTAAACTTAGTTACAGTAGCGGGTGGGGAACTTAGGCTAGGGGGTACTGAGCATATCTGCCTAGTGGGTGAACTGCCATAACATGGGCTGTAAACTTAGTTACAGTAGCGGGTGGGGAACTTAGGCTAGGGGGTACTGAGCATATCTGCCTAGCGGGTGAACTGCCATAACGTGGGCTGTAAACTTGGTTACAATAGCGGGTGGGGAACTTAAACTAGGGGGTACTGAGCATATCTGCCTAGCGGGTGAACTGCCATAACGTGGGCTGTAAACTTAGTTACAGTAGCGGGTGGGGAATTTAGGCTAGGGGGTACTGAGTATTGGACTTTTAGTGTTGTGTACTCCTGAATTGCAAGGAAGATGCAGAAAGCAGCTATTAGCTGATTGTTTATTTTAAGAGCCGAGTAGAAAATTAAGAAAGTTACCTTGTTGAACAAATTGTTTATAAAATGAAAAGCTGAAGGAATGTGTTTACATGTCTGGGTGTGTATATATATATATTCTAAGTAAAATATTTGCAGTATACGCTATAAGTGACTAGGAAAGTAATCCTGATCTATTTCCTAACCTATTCAGATGTAGCAGAAACCAGAGGTGGACATTGGAACACAGATAGAATATCAGATGGAGACCAGTGTTTAAATGTTGACCTTTGATGAGCTATTGAATGTTTTATTTTATTGTCTATTTAACATGTCTATGCTATGATTTTGTGCATACTATTCTCTTATTTCTAGTGATTGTATTGCAATTGAAACCCTTATGTATTATTGTTGTATGTATGTATGTATGCTTGCCTGGGAAAGGGGGGAATTGACCCATAGGGACCAGGGGGTATTTTTGTGTAAACCAAACTGGGGTGGGAGGGCTCTAACGAGGGAACCCCATTGTCCAGTAGGTGCTTGATTTGTGTCTGTGTAAAGTGCATGAGTGGTTGCAGTTAAAAAAAAAACAAAACAAAACAAAAAAAAACGGAAGAATGATAAGAGGGATAAGAGAAAGTAGTCATTTTGGGTTATCTATACATGTTTAAATAGAAGGGTGGTAAATAGGAATGTAATTGTTTTGGTTAATGTTTAGATTAAATTGGTTAAATACAGCAATGATAACGAGTGTTTAGATTAAATGCAGCAGTGATATTGTGTTTATCTGTGAATCAGGAGTGTGCTGGATGTGAAGAGAGGTATGTAGGTATTTATCCAAATGCCATAGGAAAAAATATGGTTAAGACACCACAATCAAATGGTACTTGTGATGATTGGCACAGTTATTATTTATGTTTGTGTTCGTCATTGCCTGTGTTTTCATTCAAGAACTTTCAAGCAAGGATATTTTAAGCAGAAGAAGAAGAAGCACTGGACACTATGCTCAACTGTTGCTGTAAGGAGAAAAAATATTGCAGCTAAGAGTGGTGAGAGTCGGAACAAAATGCATCAGGAGCAGGAAACTGTTATGTCAAGGTGGTTAATGGTATAAAGAAAGAAAAAACAAAACAATGTGACCACAAACACACAAAAGTCCTTGATCACATGAACTGTTTCATTCATCCCTGTCTCCATGCGTATGTTCTATGAGACTGTCGAAGAATAGAGTATCCAGTTTCCAGGACTAATGTTTGTGAAAATTCCAGGCACACAGACCAGCCAGAGGCTACAGAAATCGAGTCGGTCTGTGCCATGATTCATAGGTGTTATGAGTTTGTGGTGTCTAATACTATATTAAGCTCCAAAACACATCCTCACATGAACACAATATCATTGGTTAATCTAATAAAACATGGTTTGAGTTGTTCATTATTATAAGGGTGGGTATGTGCCTATTTCCCAACTGGTAATGCATGTGCTCAATGGTGAACATTTATATAAGCAATAAAATGTTAATGGATAATAATTAATGGGTAAATGGGTATCGTTCTTCAAAAGGTGGGTTTTGTTGTAGGGCAGGTAGTGTTAAAATGGGGAAGATTCAAAATGTACTGGTTTTATAAATGCTTGTTTTATGACATAAGTCAAAGGGTGGTTTGTAATGGTATTTATTAATTAATGACTTTACATCATAAAGAAAGCATATTTAGTGTAATGCTTTGGGGGCACCACTAGGGGGAGTGTGTAGGAAGACATGTGCTTCTGGCAGTGACATCACAGGCCAGCCTACTTACACTGAATAAAACCAGATGGAGGAGAAAACTCTGTCCTTTTGCCTGTACCTGACTGAACCTAAGATGTAGTACCAGCTCTGACTTAACCCCAGCCAAAGGGCTGGGGCCTTGTAAGTAAAATGAATCCATTGTAACATCTAGCAATTGTAATAGACTTTTGTGTAACATTTAGCAACCTTTTGTAAGTAAAATGTTGTAGTTTTGTATTGTATAGTTATTGTAGTAAATTGACATTCTGCTAGCATCTGTTTATTTATTATAGTTATATTAAATATACATTTAATATTACAACGTTTTGTGTATTTTCTATCCACATATTCGACCATAATACCATGAATTATAAAAATATTAATGTTGTTCCGTATTGCTTAATTATTATGTATTAAGAGATTAATATTCATATTTAGGTCACGACCACAACAAACGTGCTGAGCTATGAAACCGGTGTTCTATCAAATTCCCCTACCTCGTGAAAATCCCCTACCCTTGTCACTTCCGGTGAGGGGAATCAGCTGGATCCTGTGCTGCGCATGCGCGCTAGCACTCCTGCTACTCCTCCACAGCAAGGTCCTGTCGTTATAGTTAGTGCATTCACTAAGCTTAGGCACATGGGACATTTAGGGTTAAGTGAGTGAAAGGGTTAATGCTGTTCTGGACTCAACTCCCCTCGATTCTCCAGTCACCACATGAACTGACGGGAGTTCTTGTTTAGCAAATTAAGACACATACACAAAAGAATGCTTAACAAGTTCTCAGTGAATATATTTTCAGGGCTAGCTTTTATACACAGTTTGTCACGCAAGCAGCGAGATTTATTGTTTCCTTGTAGTTAATAGTACATACTTGTCTGACATTAAAAGATAAGCATTTGAATAAAGACGGGACAGGAACATCCTGAGGTCGAGCGAGGTCATACATCCTGTAGAAGGGAGGCCTCTCAAAGCATGTTATAGAATACATCTGCCAAAGTCAGCATAATTATTTCAAACATTATTTTAAAGCATACAAAACAAAAATAGTTAACTATTTCATATCCTTACATTCCCCTCTTTGAGCAAAAAATTTGCTCATATTATTGATAAAATCTTCCCAGGAAAGAGAAACTTCCACATGATATTTTCAGGGGTGCTAGTTCCCTGTGGAACTTTAATTAATTTCTTCACCTCAATTCCCATGTGGTAATTCCTAAGGCCCAGTTTTAAAAATGGGTTGATACCCTCCAGTGGCAGAGAGGAGAATTTTCAATTGTTTCTGTTCTGCATTATGGATTAATTTCTGTCTTCTCTTCTTCAATGTACAAGTAAGGTGTGTGGGGATATTTATGGGATAATAATGTTATACAGTTGAGAATTGCCCACTATTTCAATTCTCTTAGATCTTAGAGATCGTTATCATATAAGTGAAATGTGTTCCATACAAATAAAATCACAATTTGTTATAAAAATAGATATAATTTATTGTGACAAATAAAATAATAATATTAGGCAGCATGCATGATATTAATCAGTGAATATTTAGTATAACATAAGTATGCAATATAATGGCTAGACACAGTACAAAGCTACAGCATCAACTGTCAAGACAAGATTAACGGGTACTTCACAGTACAAAGAAAGCAAAACTTCACACAGCCCAGCGAAAAGCCATAATACCTTGGCTAACAGTTAAATCAACTGAATAACCCTTTCAGTGCTGGCTCCTAGGCATATAGTATCCTATACTCATGTAATTTAAAATAACATTCGAACCAGTTCATTAATCATTTCCTGGAATCATCCAATAAGAATACTCTACCAGATTTTTACAAAAGCCGAATTTTTGTTTGCCTAAAAAGATATCTGTGATTTATCCAGTCATATATTATACTATTAGATTGTAATTAATTTAGATTAATTAAATAAAACCAGCGTAATTACCAGCTATGCAGATATTCTCATCAGATGAGTAGGTAGTCCCAGGAACTTGTGAGTATGTTTGGTTGTATGGAGGTGTGTAAGTAATAGAGAAAAGTGATGTTGGTTAGAAAGTATCAGTAAAATTCTAATTGTCAAGGAGTGTTTCTTGAGTTGTGTCCAAGAGAGTTTGAGAGTTGAATGTTAGTCCCAGAGAGTGTCCTGAATCTCTCTGCATGTCCGAATCTGAATGCCCAAACTAACCTTCTCTCTTCCCTTTGTCCTAACTTTTAAAGGGCCAGACTCTCTGTACGTCATTAGTTGATAAGGCCAATAGGAAACTGTAGGTGTGGTCATCCTGCAGATCGCAATTTAGGTATTTGATCCATAGAGGGCAGTCTCGCCTTATTAAACCTTCTTATCCAGGAAAGAGTTAACTTTTCCTGATGACAATTTTGACGTCATTTGGCTTATCTAAAATGACTACCATAACTTACATTTGCTGTCAGTTCAAAGTGTTTGCCTCAGTCTTTGTGGCAACTACTTTGATCGTAATTTCTAAAATTGACAGTTCTAAACTCAATTTCACCCCTTACTTACAATGGGACCTTGTAAAATTTAGAAAGTAAAATTAATTACTTAGTCTTCTCTGTCACTAGTGTCTGTGTTTAAAATTATTTCTATTCCATTAACATTCAAACAGAGCATTCCATACCCTTGCTTCATTGCTTATCACTTGGCTTGTTTATATAATGCATTCCTTAGCTCAGGCTAGTGGCTAGTGTTACTGAAAGCAAGAAGAAATTATGTCTCTTTGTTAGACTGAAGATCCAAAATGGAGTCCGCTCTGTTCTGAGTGACTCTGGCAATATACACTTTTAATTTCTATCTTAGCACAAAATGTCTGTCAATATAAATATCCTGACAGTTATATAAAATCATATACAATAAAATCAGGACTATAAGAGCTAGAGGATAGAATAATTTTTTTATTATCTGGGATCCAGTAGGAGACCAACCAGTAAAATCATTGTACCAATGATGGGCTAAATCATTCTGAATTTGTAAACTCACCTTAAGAAGTTCTCCTTTTAGGATATGTGTGGCTACCTGTGTGTGTACTATAGCATCATTATGTGTAACAAGATGTTTAAACATATTTTGTTTTCTTTTCATTAAGGAGACAATAGTCTCAAGAGGTAAATGGTAATCTTTAAAAGGCAGAGAGCCTAATAGGGCATTAATATGTATGTCTAAAGTGATTGTGTCGCTGAAATAATATTGGGTGCCATTAAGATCTAACCAGGTAACATTAGTCAAACATCCTGAAAAGGGTAGAGGTAGATTAATACTTGTATTACTAGTAATTATCTTTGTAGGGAGGTTAGTTGCCAAACAGATATGTTGTGTGCTTCATGATGGCCATGTTTAACTTATTCTTGAGGGTCTCCATGTCTATACTATTTAGTATACCTGTAGTGGTTCCAGCACCTCCTAACAGTGTGCCATACCCTTTTCTGCCTTTTGTTTGCTTGCTCTGTTACATAATGTTGCAACAGGAGTAGTGATTTTTAATGACACATGTACAGCTTGCAGAAGGCAGTTGCATTAACACATGTGGACGGAATAGGTGTGTGTATGTGTCGTTGTTGATGTTTGGTTCTATGGTAGAGGATAAAGGACAGTAATAAGGTGTAAAATATAAGGTAGTGTACAGTTCTCAATTGCAGTGTCGTTCATAATGACTAACATTTGTCCCCTTTTCAAATTAATGGTACCAGTTGTATAATCATTATTAAAAGTAATAAGGCCTGTCTGTTTACATTGATATGCAACCTTACTAATTTTCTTATAATATATATCCCAAACCTGTTGAGGTGGTTTTTTCTTACCATCAGAATTTATATTAAATAAGGTGGCACAGATGCTAGTGTAATTAGCAACCTTAACTGTGCACATTTACGCGTTATAAGATCTAACAATTTTCCGTGAACCTTCAAACAAACATAACGCATCGGTTTCATTAGCTGTGGACACATTCCATATGGGTAACTGGTACTTATAAGGGTTATTATTTGTCCAATTCATCCAAATGTGTTCAGTCCATGAGTGATTGCATATTACATGCTGATAGGTGGTGGAGAAAGGTTCTTGAGGGATCGTGTGTGACGAATGCTAGATGAGGGGCTTAGGCCTAATTGGGCTGGGGGTATTGAAGAATTGTTTGTGTCAGAGTCTTTTCTCCAGAAACAAACAGGTTGAGTGAATGAGTAGGTTCCTGTGAAGGTAAGGGAAACTGCGAAGAAACATTGCCATATATACCATTCAGTTTTATCAACAATTCCTGTACATATTGTTCTTGTATTAGCTGTAAATCCCCAGACATTATAACAAGTGGTTCCCTGGCCCAGGGTGTGGGAAAAGGTTGTCCCATCAGAATCTCAAATGGAGATAATTTAGTCACCTTGTGGGGAGTCATTCTTATCTCAGCTAAAATAGCTGGAAGATGTTTTGACCAATTTACCCATGTTCCTGCAGTAGCTTTCATAAGCTTCTCCTTAAAGGACCACTATAGTGCCAGGAAACTATTCCTGGCACTATAGGGCCCTGAGGGTGCCCCCACCCTCAGGGTCCCACTCCCGCCTGGCTGGATGGCGAGGAAAGGGTTAAACCTTACTTTTTTTCCAGCACTGGGTGGGGAGCTCTCCGCCCCCTCTTCGGCTGAATGTGCATGTGCGGTAGGAGACGCGCGCACATTCAGCTAGTTCACAGGAAAGCATTTACAATGCTTCCCTATGGACGCTGGCGTCTTCTCACTGTGATTTTCACAGTGAGAAGCATGCAAGCGCCTCTAGCGGCTGTCAGTGAGACAGCCACTGTAGGCTGGATTAACCCTATTATAAACATAGCAGTTTCTCTGAAACTGCTATGTTTATTTAAAAAAAAAAGGGTTACTCCTAGAGGGACCTGGCACCCAGACCACTTCATTAAGCTGAAGTGGTCTGGGTGCCTAGAGTGGTCCTTTAACCCCTTAAGGACCAAACTTCTGGAATAAAAAGGAATCGTGACATGTCACACATGTCATGTGTCCTTAAGGGGTTAATGGTCCTATTCATCCTTTCAACTACCCCTGAACTCTGTGGATGATAGGGTATATGAAACTTCCAGGTAACTTGCAAGAATTTAGCAAGTTCCTTGGTAACCTTACTGGCAAAAGCCAGGCCATTATCAGAGTTAATTTCAGAGGGCAGCCATACCTGGGAATAATTTCAGT